CGGTAGTTGGAGCATTCTTTGGCACTGCCTTTCTTTGGGATTGGGATGTAGACTGATCTTTTGCAATCCTCTGGCCACTGTTGAGTTTTCCAAACTTGCTGGCATATTGAATGTAGCACCTTAACAGCATCATCTTTCAGGATTTTAAATAGTTCAACTGGAATGCCATCACCTCCACTGGCCTTGTTGTTAGCCAGGCTTTCTAAGGCCCACTTGACTTCACTCTCCAGGATATCTGGCTCAAGGTCAGCAACTACATTGTCTAGGTTGTCCGGGATATCCTCTAAGAAATAAATTTTCTATGGAACAATATATTGTTACAAGCTACTCTTTCTGCAAAGCCAGTGTGGTGTAACAGATAGTAACTGACTGGGATTCAGGAGATCTGGAATCAAATCCCCACCCAGCCATGAAAATTCAGTGGGGACTGCAGTAGTAAAATAACTCCTTAAATATCTCATATACCATGCAAATCCCAGTTTATGGTTTGCCATAAACTGGATGCACTTGGCAGCATATAACAACAGGAACTCCTGTTATAAAGCAAAGTATTTAATGGTAGTGTGGAATGTGCAATTAAGAGCAATTACGGGGATCACACAACCCTCCTGTTACAGCAGCTTCACTGGCTGCCAATTTGCTTCTGGTCACAATTCAAACTACTGGTTTTAACCTATAGTCATAATTGGCTTGGATCCAAACTATCTCAAGGACGTGTGTCCCTTTATGTGCCTGCCCAAGTATTACTATTAGAGGTGGAGGTATTCCCAGGACAGGTGGCATTAACGTGGATGGCACGATTCCACCAATGGCTCTGCAGTGCTCGATCCGCTCGCCAATCCTGGCTGGAGGCAGGAGGACAAGCCTCACTGCAAGGTCAAAGAGTGGTAAGCAGATTGTGCGCTGCAGAGCCATTGGTAGAATCGAGCCGTGTCTGTGGCGGATCAGTGAGTGGACCGTCCAGCTCCATGGGGCTGGACCCTTGTTAATGCTACCTGTGTGGGGATATTAGTATTCGTTTACGAATACCCCAATCTCTAATTACTATAATCAGGGAGTCCTTTCTCTCAGCCCCACTACCCTCACAGATGCACTTGGTGGGGACATGGGAGAGTGCCTTCACTGTTGCTTCTCTCAGAGTTTGGAACTCCCTCCCACAGGAGGCCAGGCTGGCCTCCATTTTTCCTGTCCTTTGGCAAACAGACCGAGACCTTTCTCTTCAAGCAGGCTTTCCCTTAGTGACTGACTGTTGATGGTTTTAAAATCAGGATGGTTAATATTTTGTTGCTTTTAATCTGTTTTAATAATGCTTTTATTTAAATTTTAATAGGTTTATTTATTTTTCTTTTAATATGTGGTTTTGTAAACAATGTAAGCCAGTCCTTTTTATGAAGATAAGCAGGGTAACCATATTTAAAATAAATAAGGAAATAAAATACCAAAAACCAAACGAATTCAGCTCATTTGTCGATCCAGCTGCTTGATGTTTTAGATTCTGCTTGTAATAGTAGGAGGATTTGGATACGGGGACTCCTATGATGATTACCTACACTTCTCAATTTTATCAGGAGACCAAATGCAGTACACAGAAGGGGGAAATGATGTAGGTTTTTTTCTTCTTGTTGTTTTCCTAAACTGCTCTTATCTGGAGGCCCCAGACCTTACCAGTTGGGCATATGACTTGAAAACGAAAGATCCCAAATTTGACTTTGAGTGGGCAGGTAAGGAGGATACTGATAAACTCGTATCAAGGGAATGAGTGGGCTGCTGGGACTTTCAATAGCAACAAATATTTCAGATGGCCTTGGCTATTTGTTTAATTATTTATATGCCCGTCTTTTTCACACCACACAGACCCATTTGAAACAGAACAGTTACAAAACAGAAATGGCTAAAAACACAGTTGGCAGAAAGCCCATTTTTGTCAGACTGATAACATCAGCAGCAGTAATGATCCCCCCACCCCACCCCGAAAGAAATTAAACATTTCCAACTTCTCTCTTAAAGTGCCTGGATAATCTCTTCCATCATTGGGAACCTGTGTACGGCATGGGATGGTAAGGGGGAGTCTTTAATTACCAAAACTCAGTGCTACTGGGATGCCTTTCCTGGTGGCAGTAATTTTTTTTAATCATTAAAGATTCCCGCCTCCTGTCCTTTGGCTTCTACAGGTTTCTGAAGATGAAATGGATTACCCAGGAGCTATGGGAGAACGCTTGGAAATGTTTCATCAGCCTTATATTGCATAAGTTATGAAACAGGGTTTGAACCAGTATGTCCTTATACAGTGGTGCCTCGCATTACGATGTTAATTCGTTCCAGCAAAATCGCTGTAGAACAAAAACATCGTAAAGCGATTTTTAAAAGCCCATAGAAACGCATTAAAACCCCTTCAACGCATTCCTATGGGCTTGAAACTCACCATCCAGTGAAGATCCTCCATAGCGCGGCCATTTTTGCTGCCCATGCAGCGAGGAATCCATTCCAGAAAACAGCAGGCAGCCATGTTTTTTAACCCGGCAGCCATTTTTAAACCGCCGATCAGCTGTGCGAAAATTGTCGTTTTGCGATAATCGGTTAGCGAAGCAGGGAACCGATCATCACAAAGCGAAAAAAACCCATAGGAAACATCGTTTTGCAATCGCTTTTGCGATCGCAAAAACTTTGTCGTTATGCGATTTCATCGTAAAACGAAGCGCTCATCTTGCGAGGCACCACTGTATTAAAATTCCGTTACAGATATTACCATATTAAAACAACTACTGAATTACAACATTTTAACACAATCTATAATCACTCCCCCCAAAAAAGAGTTAAAAATGGCATTCCCTTCCTAAGCAACCTATTCAATTACCTGCCTATGTTGCAAGGGAAACATTGCCCTTTACTTGCCTTTCTCACAAGGGATAGACATTTTACTTAAATAGGACATATATTGTGAAGACAATGTTGAAATTTGTTACCTCCATGTCTTCTTTAACTTGCTCTTGCTGATCTCTTAATTCTCCAAATGCATCAATAATTAAGCCTAATAATAGATATAAGATAATACTTAAGCATTTGAGTATAGGATTTTGACAAAGCCTGCCAACAGAACACCTTGATCATAAAGTACCAAACATGAATGTTGCATTTAGTTAAATTAGTCTGCAAAAATTCATATCATATATACTTTCTGGGCTGAAAAAATATCTCCATTGTATTCAATGAAAAATGAAATCAGGCAAAATCCAAAGAAACAAAACAAAATTAAACAAAAAGACAAAATTTTAAAAAAGACAAAACAAATGTAGCATCTTAAAGATTAACTATTATATTTTAACATGAGCTTTTGTGGACATGTCCATTTCGTTGGGCATATGAAAACTCAAATTAAAATATAAGTTAGTCTTTAAGGTGCCCCATGTTTTTGTCTTTTTTAAAAATTTGCTTTTTTGTTTTATTTCTTTGGATTTTGCCTGATATGCCTGGTAGCACAGACTAACACAGCTACCTCTTCTAAAACTTGAAAAAGGAAGACATATTTGGACCTTTTCCAGGAATAAAGAAGAAATGGGGGATCTTTACTATATCAGATAAGATGGCAGAGCATTCCACAGTATTTTACTTTGACATTTAGTCAAGCAGTAGCAGAATGGCTATGAGCAGCATTCTGGTAACAATCCTAATGGGCACAGAATGGATTAAATGCAACAATGCTGTATTACAAGCCAGTGTTACTCTCAAAAGTAAAGTGTTTTTTTAAAAAAAAAATGGCTCCCTCACCACCAGCCATGACAGCATTTGTCACATTGACCCATTTGGCTAGCAGTGATGAATACTGCTGGGCTACTTATTACATATTCATTGGCATGTGAAAGGGCAGTAAACCTGAGTCATTCTTAAACAAAAGAAAAAGCAAAACTTCTCTGTTACTTCACCTATCATCGTAGGCCACTCTCATCCCCTCCCATATTAAAATTTCAGTGATTTCATTCTCATGTACAGGACAAGAAATTTCAGTCTCCTAGAGTCGCGTTGTGTTTTTGAGTCCACACAGAACTAGATCTGCAATGTGGGCATTCTGTGTTGAAAGCAAAAGAAGGGTAAACAATGTTCCTAGCCAATGTTTCAATTGCTGGCCACGTAAGTTTTTTGTACAGATGCTGTTTTGTCCCAGTCAATGTAATATAATGTCAACAAAAAAAGTCCCATGTCATTAAAAAAAACCCAGTTATTTCAAACCATGATATTTAGAACAGAAGTGATGTATTCTGGTTTTCAGTGCCTTGGCCTGATTTAGGGGGAAGCACTGAAATGTTCAGTGTTTTTAGGAAATGCAAGGCATGGAGATTCAACTCTAATCCTCTTGCATGCGTAATTATCAGGGGGTAAAAAATATCCCACAGCATACTCAGTGCAAGAATTTTTAGTAATAATATATACAGGTAATTACAGGTTGGGGATATCCAGTATGATGTAGTAGTGGATAGAATGATGAACTAGGACTCAGGATATCCATGGGATCTTGGGGATTTAAGAGGTGTACTGCCACTTTCTCCCTCTGTGTGTGTTTGATTCAATGTTTTCCTGGTTATGAATGGTGAGGCTTATTTGTTTGGCTGTGCCAAAATAGCATTCTTTCTTGTGACAATTTTGCAAAGGCAGGAGACATCATGAAAGGGACACGAAACTGCTGTGAAGGAGGTAAAGCAGGTACTTCCATGACTGAGACTATATTAACAGATAGCTTTTTACAAAACACATGCTAATAGTTGTTGCTGGCAGCTCACAGACTTTCTGGTTGTGAGGGAAAACATCAAATGATTCGTTATAGCTCACAATTTCCATGCAGAACAGAATACTATTCTGGCTAGGTTCTCTATAACAAGTATTGTGTCTGGATATATAGTTAGGACTGCTGAGAATTTAGCTGAACAAGTTGTTTGTATGGATTATTGCTTTCATGCCTTGATTTTGAACTCCTAGAGGCATTTTGCTTGCTGAGAAGAATTCTGGGAATTCTTTTAAAAAATCAATTACCAAGTAAAAAGATTAAAAGAAAGCAAGTAAATATACAAACAGAAATTATCACCCTCAAAAAAACCCAACCAAAGCCCAAACACTTAAACTAAAAAAAAATAATACTACATCAAACTGGAAACAAATGGACAGAGGGGGATATATTTTAGCATATGTTTTTTATTTTATAATCACAAGTCCATTAAGTGCTGGTAGAGTTCTTCATGATTCTTATATTACAATTCATATTTAAAACGAGAGTTAGAAAGAATTTTCTCACCAGTTAATAGGAAAGGGTGTTCGCCCACCCACCGACTGATACTCCCCAACGAACATGGTCTGAGGAAGGACAGTTACTTTCCAAACAGAAGGATTGCCTCTTGGATGGGCAGTCACTTACGCACCAGGCATGAGAAATGTACAATATTTTGTATTTGGACAACAAACCACTTGTCTTTTTTCATTTGTTGATAGGTGGGAATTGATTTTACTTAGCACTGAGGTGATTTTTGCAATTGTAAGTAAAAGGACACTATATACTGGCAAAAAGCAATGTACACATACCTTGAATGATGGCTAGTAGAATAACAATTACAAAGAAGAAAAATGTAATATCAAAGATAATGCGATAGATTTCATATTCATCGCCTGCAGGATCTTCAATTTCATCACCAATTCCACCACCAGCACGCACTCCCACATACATATGAAACATATAACACTGTAAAACACACAAAAAGATGCTGACATTTTAAAAACATACATTCTACAGAACCTAACTGTATTTGCAGTATTTATAGTTTATAGTTTATAGCTGAGAAGCTTCAAAGGAAAGAGCTTCTCCATGAGCAAAAACAACAGGATTTTTAGTCAGCAGCAATGTTAACAGAACCCCATGCATTTTTGTGATTCTGCCAAAAAGGTCTTTTAAAAAAAAGGGGGGGGAAGCTCTTTATACTCTTATCCTGTGGGGAGAAAACCTTTGAAACTTTTCATTCATTTCGAAAAAATTATAGAATAATACTTTACCCCTGTGTAAAACTTCCCTCTTTCCTATCTCTGGCATCTATTTTACATCAAGGGTGTGTGTGTGTGAAATAATATGCTTCCCAATAAGAAGTAAAATTAGTTTGTTGTTATGGTCATTGAGTGCAAATTATGGTTGGCTTTAATGGAGATTTGTTTTAATAATTCCTGACGCCCTTTTTTTTTCTTTCCCCCCCTCTCCTTTAGCTTTCCCATTCTGCTCAGTATTTCTGTTATGTAAATTGTTTTATACGTATATTTATTGTATTATCTTTTAATGTTGTTAGCCGCCTAGAGTGGTCCTGACGCGACCAGTTAGGCGGGATATAAATAAAATAAATAAATAAATAAATAAAGTAAGAATCCAAATCACGGTGTCAGATGGAGCCTTCAGATCAGACCATAGGTTCTGATGAAAACTTCAGAGTTGGATGCGTTCATCATAGTACTGGAAGACTCATCTATTGAGAAAAATAGCTTTTGATGTATGACTACAGCTGACCTGAAACACTAGAGACCACCAGAGTTATGCAACTCTGAAGCATCTATGTTTATAAGAACACAAGACAGTTGATGAGAAATCATTACTGCAGCTTTTCTGTTTCTCATATTGTCATCTTAAAATGCTAACTGGTCTGTCTTGTTTAACTATTTATTTATTCAAGTTATTTATTCAACAGAATTCTTTAATGGTAGTAACACATATTTTTTAGTAGGTCTGCTCTGCCTCTTACAACTTCCGCCATTTATTACCATTTGCTATGCTGGTGAGGGTCTGGAGGAAATTTTAGTCCAGCAACGGGGAGGGCCACTTTTGCTCACCTCTGCTCTACAGTACAGTGGTGCCTCACTTTACGATTGCTCCGTTTAATGACGAAACTGCATTATGACAAACTTTTTGCGATCGCTTTACAATGTTTCCTATTGGGGAATTTCGCTTTGCGATGATCGGTTCCCTGCTTCAGGAACTGATTCTTCGCAAAACGATGATTTTCGGACAGCTGATCGGTGGTTTCAAAATGGCCCCCCGCTGTTTTCTGGAACGGATTCCTCACTGCACAGGCAGCGAAAATGGCCACCCTATGGAGGATCTTCGCTGGACAGTGAGTTTCCAGCCCATTGGAATGCATTAAACAGGTTTTAATGCGTTTCTATGGGCTTTTAAATTTCGCTTTACTATGTTTTCGCTCTTCAGCGATTTCGCTGGAATGACTTAACATCGTTAAGCGAGGCACCACTGTAATAGAGTCTCCCTTTGTTTGAAATCACTATGGTTACAATAATCATACTGAAAAGAAAATGAGCGGGAACCATATTACAAACAGAAGATAAAATGAAAGAAACTAATACTTAACTGTTAGCATGTCATCACATTTCATGTCTGGCATATCTCCATCTTCACTTTTATTGTAGAACTTGCGAAAAAAATTGAACGCAACCACTGTGTATAGGTAAACTACCACGGCCAATAAGCCCACTGTCAGCACAAGCTAAAAAATAAATGGTATCATATATGAAGTAGAACAACACACGATATGATTTGAAGGGATAATACATTTTACGCTGAATATTGCACATCCTCAAGTTTTATTTCTAATAGGAAAAAAGAATGAGAAGATTGTATTCGCGAAGGCTTTCATGGCCGGGATCTAATGGTTGTTGTGGGTTTTTCAGGCTCTTTGGCCGTGTTCTGAAAGTTGTTCTTCCTAACGTTCCACCAGTCTCTGTGGCCGGCATCTTCAGAGGACAGAGTGCTACATGGCCAAAGAGCCCGAAAAACCTACAACAACCAATGTGAAGATTATTGAAATAATAGCATTGAATTCAGTTTTGCCTTTCTGTTTCAAGGCCAGCTTTTGATCCATTTTACATTATCACAGCGGAAAGAGATGAGAGGGAGTTCCCATTCTATCGCAATTCTCCCAGATCTATCACAGAACAGTGTGTAACAGTGACACAGAAGGTGGTAAGGAAAAAGAGAGAACTGGAAGGGGAAACTGGATAACATTCATTAAAGAGGGACTTGCTTCTTCAACATTGGGTGGCTTGCCTTTCATCACTGCGAAGGGAGAAACAGGCAAAGCTCCTTAATTTGTCCACAAAGTTGTCTTGTAGGGACTAATAAACCTTATTTGTATTCCAAAGAAGCTTTGCCCTGGTTATAGACAAAGATAACATTTCACCTTACAGTAACAGTGGCAACTCCCACTAGCCTTAGCTTGTGGCAACGAGGTACAATGAGTGCTACAGCCTCAAAGGATCTGATGTACCACAAGTGTCCCTTACTATACAAACTAAAAATGTAGTCAATGGCACTTACTTCTGAGTAGACAAACATAGGACTGCATGATAAAGCTGCAATCCTAAATCTCACCACAAACAAATGAATTTAGTTCTCAGTAAATGTGGATAGGTTTGTGTTGCATAATGCTGTCCTGCTTCCTACTGTACAGTTGGAAGATATGTCTTGTGGAACTAAGAAAGAAAATTCATACCTGCAGACGTAATACAGACATCATGATTCCTTTGAGTTTTAGAAATAAATATGACTTTTCCTTTGATTTAGTATAGGTGATAAATTTAAAGTACTGTTCCACCTTTCAACTTGATTTTAAAGATGGTGTATATCTTTACATGCAGTTAATGAGAAAAAAAACACCTCATTACCTGTTTCCCATTGTGAGTCACTGATGACAGAATTGTTCGCAATGTTTTAAATCCCATTGCAATGTCAAGGAGATGAGCAGCAAAGAAAAAGTTGTTGTAATGACCAAGGACTGACATGGTCATATACCAGGCCAGATAAAGAAAAGACTTTTTAGGAGAGAGAAAAAGAAAACGAGGTTACAAAAAAGGACATGATAATCGTGACTAACTGGGCTCAATTTCAAAGCCAAGAAGTGACTATGAACCATGAAAATTTCAGTGCTTTATCTTAACAGCCCCCAAAAGAGACAAATACTGAATTTTTCAAAAAATATGGAACATCTTTGACTCAATTAAGATTTTATGTAAGAATCAAACAAATCCAATCCAACCTACTCCCAATTGAAGTAGACCCATTGAATCAATTGTTGAATGGTAACTCCTTGATTTAATGAGGTCTGCTCCAGTTGGGATGGGAATGAATGAAACCGTGCTTAAAAAGGGAAATGTCCTCCTCTAAAAGTTTACAAATTGCATCTCCCATGATACCCTACAATTGGCCATGCTGGCTAAGGCTAATAGAGCAGTAGTGTTCAACAATATCTAGAAGACCATGCATTACTCATCGCTGTATTTTAACAGAAGCTAAAGTCTGCTTTTCTAAATGAAACATATATTGGGTTTGGTTTTTTTTAAGATTTTGAAGTCTGTGTTACATAATAAACCACATAGTTATTGTTAGCATAGGCTTTCTACTGAAACCAGATTGATTATATTCTCTGCAGCCAAAGATGGAGAAGTTCTATACAGTCAGCAAAAACAAGACCTGGAGCTGACTGCGGTTCTGATCATCAGCTTCTCATAGCAAAATTCAAGCTTAGACTGAAGAGATTAGGAAAAACCACTGGGCCACTCAGGTATAATCTAAACCAAATCCCGAGTCGGACACGACTAAACGACTAAACACACACACACATTCTACTGAAACCAGATCTAGTGAATCATCAAACCTACCAGGATCCAGGAAAAATCATTGGATCTCCTCTAAGTCATACATCGAACTCATACACTGAACTCATAAAACTCACTTGTATTATTTTATATTCTCTAATTCATAATCATTTCCAGAATTATGAATATTGATGCCTAGTGCCTACTGATTAAAACTGTGTGGAATTTCACTTCCTGCCTCCTTGAAAATACTGCAGAGATTAGTGAGGGAACGATTTTCTCAAAACAACTGAAGATTTGCAAGCATTCAGGCTCACAAATCACCCACTATCTCACATCTAGATATCTAGACCCTCATCATGTAGGGCACAGTAAAAAAAAGAAAACCCACAGGTACAAGAATTAATGGGAGATGGCTAGATTATTTTAGCATAAGCATTCATAGCCAACAATGAAACCTACACCACAATTTAAAAAAGGATCATAAAAGGGAAAACAAGAAGAAAAAAATAACTGCTTTTTTAAATCATGAAAATATCAATGCGAAGTCAATATAGAATAGCTTGATTCCTTGTAGTATCCAATCAATGGTCATACAAACTGTGCTGTATACAGTGGGGTCTTGACTTAAGAACGGCTCGAGTTAAGAACATTTTGACTTAAGAACCACTCTCATAGAAAAATATTGACTTGACTTACATACTTAGATTTGAGTTAAGAACTGAAAAAAAACCATGTGGGAGGCAGGGAAAGTGCAAAATTTGAACTTTCAGTTAACTGTTGGCCAGTGAAAAGGGTGCCTGTCTGCTTCCTCACTCCTCCCAGCGTTTAGAGAGTGGATTGGGAGACAGTCTTTGGACTGCCTGGTACTGTACTGCCTGGACTGTATTTTCCCTGCCTTCCCTGAACCTTTCTTGGCCTAAGAAAAAAAAGAAACAAAATATCCACCTCTAGTGGTCGAAGGCAGAATAGCAGCTTCCCATTAGTTTCTATGGACGGAAAAGAGCAGATACGGATCAAATGGTTCTCAATGCATTCCTAAGGGAAATGCAAATTTGACCTGAGAACTTTTTGACTTGAGAACCGCCTTCCAATACGGATTAAGTTCTCAAGTCAAGACCCCACTGTATCAAGTAAAGTGCCCTGCTGAGATTGCCTGTATGTGCCCAGAATCTTAATATATTGACATCCAGGTGCTTAAGTTCACTATTAATATCCTCTCATCTCACACTGTAATTAATATGTGATGGTATAAACTTACATTATCTGTAAAAACAACTCCCAATTTCCACATCTGATACTTTACATCAATAGAATTTAATCTGAAAAGGAAAATATAAGACACAAGACATCTTCAATATGTAAATAACGGGTATCTCATTTTTCCCAGGAAACAGACTAATGAAGCAAATTGCCAACAACTAACATGACTTTAATTCTTATACTCTAATGGACAATGATTGGTACTAGTGTAGCTAAGGACAGGCATTTTCACAGGCGTTTCTAAATTCCACAAAATTCTTCAAGCAAGTTAGTCTAAACGTATCTGTGTCCTATTATAATGAAGTAAAGGTATACTATCCTGATAGATCGTCTTCTGCACCAAACAAAATCTACTCAAGTCCTGCTAATATCAGGGTGTACTGTTAAAGCAGTCTCAGAATGTAAGTCATTAAAACCAAACACTCTTCAAAAACCCAAGAAAATTCATAACTTGCAAAAAAAAGCACTGTTGTTTTTAACAAACTTTTTTAAAAAGAAGAAGAAGAAAACTTACACAGCTGATAATGAACTATCTTTTTTAGGTTTCTTTTTTTCTCGGGCATCACTGAAATCTAGAGCAGCTTTGTCCATTCCCAGCAATTCACTGATTCTGTCCTTCCCATAGAACTCTCCGTATTTATCCATAACCTGAAAGAATCAGATTGATTGTTAATCTTTTCTCTGTTTATTAGGCAAATGATACATTATTTCTTACCTAAAACCAAAATATTCCAATAGCCCAGTCACGATACAGTTAGGCTGAATATTATTTTATAGAAGTAGATTTACTAATGATCCTGCATTCTGATAATGGAGCTCGAATAATCAAGCTGAATACTCAACATCCTAGGGATATGAGCATAACAGCATAACTGTACTCATTAATGTAAGTGGATTCCAAGCATGCTACTGGATACAAATATATTATAAGTAAACATAATATAAAGACTATCATTGAATAAATATATGGAGGCTTGAGTGGAGACAAGGTAAGACATATATTTGTTTCTAATGTGCTTTTCAACACTAGCACCACTTCCAACTTTCATGCTGAGCGTGCAGAACATGGCCGTGGAGCTGCCATGCTTCAGGACTGGATCAATGCCCCCTCCTACTTTAAACCCACTACACTAGGGCCCAAACTAGGTGTTGAAAACTTTTTTTTCATCTCCTTAACAGATGATTGGTGGTACTGCCTGACAGGGCTCACTGCACAATTGGAGCTTCATGAACAGTAAACCTTCTGCTGTGGGCATTGTTTCTGGGATGGGAAGCGTATAATAAGGAATCTGGTCACATCAGTCAATGGTTACAATCCATTAATTGTAACCATTGACTGATGTAGGTTTAAAGTAGGAGTGTAGCTAACTGAAAATAAGACATATGGTTTTTTTCGGGGGAGGGGAATTAAAAAGCATTACCTTTCTTTTTACAAACTTGTCCCAGTAATTGTTAGGAAATGACCTAAAGAGATAAAGAAAATTATGTTTCAATGTAAGCCATTGCTCAGAAAACTAAACTTTTTTAAAAGAATTTCACAGGGAATAATTGTTAAGGGGGATTGGAACTCCCTGCATGTAAGCTTGACACAACAATCTAATACAAAAAAAGTTCTGCAGAAAGGTGCTGAAGGGCTACTGGCACCTCCTGACCAAACAGATGTACACATGGGACACTTTCAGGGTTTTCCAGTAAATGGCATTAGGCCAGATCACACTGAGATTTACAAGGATTGAATTTATCTCTTTGTGTATGAAATTTTACTTCTCAGGTGAAAGACGTATCTTTTAAGAAGTATTTGGGGCTATATCTCATCACTGTTTAAGGCAGATCTGTTCAAATGTCCCATTTTAATTCTCTTATTAACCAGTATATCAATAGTAATATACAAACCAAATTTTAGCTGTCTGCCTTGTTATGATGATGTGACTTTACCATTTGGAGTTATAAATGATGGCACTACGATCCCCATGTCAACAAAAGTACAAACATATTTTCAGATTAATTTTGTTGCTTTGTTTCTACTACAGGATCTTAAAGGTCTTATAACTCTAAAATAGAAAATAATGAAGAAAATATACTAAACATAATGAAATACTTAAATCAACAGTTGCAAGTAACAACCACACTTTCCCACATATACCAATTTTGGGAATTCCACTTAGAAATTCAAGGTATAGTTCAAGTTCCCCTTATGTGTAAAAAAATGGGGGAAACACTTAATTACCATATTTCATTAATAATGAGAAATTTCAGCCTTTTTGATCTGCAACAGATTTAATACTTATGAGTAAAGCTGCCAGTCTAAAATCTATTGTGCTATGAATTATTTTTAAACACAGAAGGTAAATAACGTCATAACAAAAAAGCTTGTAGCTCCTTGAAATCTAAGAAATTTTATCTGGTTTAAGCTTCTGTGGCTAGTCAATGAAACATAGGCTGGTATCCTGTTGCCATGGAATGTGCTGTGGACAGTCAGTTCCATGCAGTGTTCTTCCCTGACCACCACTCATGCACTCTGGAATCCAGCAACTCCTTACATGCTTATGCACATACCTGAATAATGCTTTTTTGTTGCTTTTGTCATCTCTCACTAACCTCAGCTCATTCTTGGCTTTTCCCTTCCTAACACAATCCTGCAATTCAATTTCAAGGCATCCTGATGAAGTTCTTCATGCTATGGCTAAATATATTCTTCCCAGTCCTTGTGAGATGTAACCCATCACTTGTCTGCAGTCCATCTTCTAGGAAGCAAAGCTCATGCTCCCAAAAACCAAATCCCTCACGTCAGCATCATCTTAGTAGCTATTTGTTTAACCAGAATATTTTCCTTTCCCTTTCTATTTCACTTATGAGTACAGGTAAGATGGACAAAAAGACTATCTGAGCTCCAAAGTCCCTGACTTTTCTTCAAAAAGCTTCAAAGTCTGATGTGGTTTCTTCATAGTTCCTCCTGGCTGTGTCATTTGTTCCCAAACGGATGAGGAAAAAAAGAGTTGACCTGCCTCCATGAGTTTTATGAGTGATGGTAATCCTTTCCCAAACTGTCCTCCAGAGAGACAGCTTACCTGGCAGGTCCATGGATCTACTCGGTATATTTCACTTTTAATTCCACTCAGGAGGGAGTCTCCTACTACCTACTCTACTCTTCTTCTTTTTGTAGAGCATAGGTTCAATGACTCTGTTTGGCTGAGCTTCAGCCTCTCTATGTCCTCCTGCTGGATCTCCTGCATGTCTTCCCCTGCATGCTGTCTGCCAGATTCATCTTCAAAAATCTGATAGTGGTTTTGCAGTTCCACTAGTAAACAGTATCTCTCTTTTTTGCTCCTAAATATAACTCTTTTCCTTGGTGCTCCCTCCATTGTGTTTGTTCTCAGCATTCTCCTCCTTTGCTTTGCTTTTCTGTTCTTCCACCTCCAGAGTCTCCCTTGGCTGCTGCTCAAGACTTCTGTTTATGTATTCTTCATCTTCTCTTATAGTCTTAAGCATGGCCACTCAGTGCTCCAGTTCTCTCCTCACTTTTTCTTTCAACGGTACCACTGGTTTGCACTTGCTGCCTGTGTATGCCGTGTTGTTCTCAGACATGAAGACAAACGCTGCACAGTTTGCAGGTCACCATCATTGAAGTGTCTCTTCCTTCCATAAACCCTGTTACCTTTTTACTTTCTTCTGTTTGTATATGAGTGCCCTTTCCTTTGTCTTGTCTGTTCTGAAGGATCCTAAGAAAGTCCGCTAATATATAACTCTGTCTGTCTCCTTGATCTCCCCTTTTCTTTTTCCTCTTCCTCCAGTAGACCCTTTCCTTACTACCTTACTTTATGACCTCCCCACCCTAATCAAACTTCTGTTATTTCCCCCTGGTCACTCGCTCCCTGGGTCTGTCCTAGTTTTATTCTTCTGTTGTGCTGTTGGGAGTCAGCAAGCAGAAAGGTTAAAAAAGAGAGAATACCTTTTAAAACCCAAGAGTAAATTAAAAAAAACCTTACTGTGTGTTGATGACAAGTCTATCCCACTGTCCTTTAATATCATCTTCTGAAGGCTGTTCTGTAATATACAGCCCATCAAACTCCAATTTTCTTGCAACTTCTTTTTCTCTTTTAAATATAACGAGTGGGACCTGAAATTGAAATACAAATATACCAAAATGTAAATTAAATTCCCTACTGAACTTAGAACAACAGCACTTTGAGAACAGCTGGCTGCTTAGAAAAATACAAAGATTGAATAAACCAGTACAAATAACAAACAGTTTATTGGTATATGAAAGACAAAGAAATTCTATTTGCTATAAGCTTTCATGGACTGTAGCCCACTTCATCAGATGCATCAGTTCTCACAAGGCTCATTGTTTTTGCTGCAACAGAATAAACATGCTTATTACATGAACCTGAATAACCTATTAAAGGACAATACAGTGGTGCCTCGCTTGACAATCGCTTTTGCAATGTTTTAATAGGCAAAAATTGCTTAACGACGATCAGTTCCCTGCTTTGGGAACCAATTTTTCGCTTAACAACGATATTTACAGCTTATCGGCGGGTCTTCAAAATGGCCGCCCGCTGTTTAAAATAGCTCTCCGCTGTGTTTTAGGGCGGATTCCTTGCTTTACAGGCACCAAAAATGGCCAACCTATGGAGGATCTTCTCTGGACGCTGAGGTATTTTGCCCATTGGAACGCATTGAACCAGTTTTCAATGCATTTCAATGGGCTTTTTCATTTCGCTTGACGAGGATTTCGCTTAACAGCGATTTGAACGGAATGAATTATCCTCGGCAAGCGAGGCACCACTGTATAAAGTGATTTGGATCCTTCTTTAAACAAAAGGGGCTATAATCTAGCAGAAGTTCTTGTTTAAAGATAGAGAAGGAGGTCCCTACTTCTTGTCAAAATCTCTCCCTGTTCTCCCATGCCACTTCATACACCACTCTAGGGTGTCCCCAAAGATGTAGAAGGCACAGAGGACTACAGAAGGAAGGAGAGTCTTATCTGATGCCTTTGATGGCATCCTTTCCATGCCAGGCAAAGGCTCTTTTCCATCACACCCTAAACTAAAAAAGCTTTTAACATCCTTAAATGTATGGTGCCATCAGTTACCTCAGCTTTTTCTATTTATTGTTATTATTACACAGTTGTTTTCTTTAAACACTTTTGATTTGCTGTACTGGAGATTGTAACTGAAGAATGATATAAAAATCTCGAAAATAAGCTAAGAACACACTCAGTCTATACCATCAAAATCTAAGTATACAAGTACTGTTCGTTACTGCTTCAGCACAGCTACATCCTTGTCTCCTTACTTTCAAACAGTAGTATCCAATGATACAGAAAAAGGAAATGACTGTGTGCAGAATAGCTAAGATCCGTAGAGTAGGTTCCATATAGCCACTGCTCTCCTCAAGAACATAGTGCACTGTGATGATTCGATGAGATGGACTTTCCAGGCTACTTAGTTTGGGGTTTTCAGCAGCGTTAACTACAGGAAACTCCTTTTCCTCTGCTACTGCAGACGTGGAGACCTGTTTTGGAGAGAGGCAAACAGAAGTGAATGGACTAACAATTGGACATAAATGTCACCTGTCTATAAATTATACATGAAAGAGAAGGCAAATGATACTTTGATTTTATACCATGTTACACACTATTAAACACAAAACTGATTCTAGCACATAAAGACTCATGGCTTTTTAATATGTTAAGTTCTTTACTCATCAAAGCATAAAGATTTACCACTTGAAGGATTTACCTTATAGAAAAGTAGAATGAAATTAATGGCAAATGCAACAAACAAAGCTAGCATCCTCATATTGTAGAAGTTCCGAGCAAAATAATTCTGGAATAAAACAAACAGAAAACGATAAACCTGCTTATCTGAATAATCAAATTCATTAAATTTTCAAAGTGGTATACTGAAAAATCAGTTTTCAAATCTTGCACAATATGAGAGAGAGATTACAGGCTGTTATGGATGGGGTTGTAACCTCCTTGAAGGACCAGATTCCTAATTCAAGGGTGCTCTGAGACTCAGCATTGCTCTGGGAAAGCCATGTAGCTGTTGTCACTAGAGATGGGCACGAATTAAAAACAAATCACTAAATTCATTCAAAAATCACTAATTCACCGATTCATATTCATGCAAATCAATGCCCCCAACAAATATGAATCAATGCATTTTTAGATATTTTTCATTCGTTTCATTCATTTGGCTATAAAATGCCCCCCAAATCAGATACAGACTCCAAATTTGCAGGGATGCTTCCTCTGACCCCCCCCCCAATCTCTCCAAGTCTGATGAATATTGGGTTCCACCAAGCCAGCTACTAAACTGCACTTTCCTGGGGGGGACCCACTTTGTGGGTGTATAACTTAGACGTCTGAAATCCAGTCTTTACAAAAGTTGTAGGAATCCTAGAGGAGAGTCAGGGAACACATCCTTGTGATTTTGGTATCTCTAGGTGCCTGGGGGATCCTCTTTGTGAATGCATTACTTGGACAATCTAAATCCAATCCTCAGCAAATTTGCCAGGTTTCTAGAGGAGAGTCAGGGGAGGATTCCCTGCTAATTTGGTATCTCTAGGTGCTCTGGGGCTGTTTTAGAGGGGTTTAAAGTAAAAAAAAATGAATTGACTGATCAATTTGTTGATTTGTCAGAAAAAATGTAAATTCATAATTTATGATTTGTCAACATTGACGAATCATGAAGTAAAAGCGGCTACTTAGTTTGGGGTTTTCAGCAGCGTTAACTACAGGAAACTCCTTTTCCTCTGCTACTGCAGACGTGGAGACCTGTTTTGGAGAGAGGCAAACAGAAGTGAATGGACTAACAATTGGACATAAATGTCACCTGTCTATAAATTATACATGAAAGAGAAGGCAAATGATACTTTGATTTTATACCATGTTACACACTATTAAACACAAAACTGATTCTAGCACATAAAGACTCATGGCTTTTTAATATGTTAAGTTCTTTACTCATCAAAGCATAAAGATTTACCACTTGAAGGATTTACCTTATAGAAAAGTAGAATGAAATTAATGGCAAATGCAACAAACAAAGCTAGCATCCTCATATTGTAGAAGTTCCGAGCAAAATAATTCTGGAATAAAACAAACAGAAAACGATAAACCTGCTTATCTGAATAATCAAATTCATTAAATTTTCAAAGTGGTATACTGAAAAATCAGTTTTCAAATCTTGCACAATATGAGAGAGAGATTACAGGCTGTTATGGATGGGGTTGTAACTTCCTTGAAGGACCAGATTCCTAATTCAAGGGTGCTCTGAGACTCAGCATTGCTCTGGGAAAGCCATGTAGCTGTTGTCACTAGAGATGGGCACGAATTAAAAAACAAATCACTAAATTCATTCAAAAATCATTAATTCACCGATTCATATTCATGCAAATCAATGCCCCCAACAAATATGAATCAATGCATTTTTAGATATTTTTCATTCACTATTTCATTTGGCTATAAAATGCCCCCCAAATCAGATACAGACTCCAAATTTGCAGGGATGCTTCCTCTGACCCCCCCCCCAATCTCTCCAAGTCTGATGAATATTGGGTTCCACCAAGCCAGCTACTAAACTGCACTTTCCTGGGGGGACCCATTTTGTGGGTGTATAACTTAGACGTCTGAAATCCAGTCTTTACAAAAGTTGTAGGAATCCTAGAGGAGAGTCAGGGAACACATCCTTGTGATTTTGGTATCTCTAGGTGCCTGGGGGATCCTCTTTGTGAATGCATTACTTGGACAATCTAAATCCAATCCTCAGCAAATTTGCCAGGTTTCTAGAGGAGAGTCAGGGGAGGATTCCCTGCTAATTTGGTATCTCTAGGTGCTCTGGGGCTGTTTTAGAGGGGTTTAAAGTAAAAAAAAATGAATTGACTGATCAATTCGTTGATTTGTCAGAAAAAATGTAAATTCATAATTTATGATTTGTCAACATTGACGAATCATGAAGTAAAAGCAATCACATTTTTTCTGATTTGTGCCCATCTTTTCTTCTCACCAGGAGTGTCATTGCACACCTTCCTAAGGTGAACAGATTTGGGCACAGTTACCTTTGCCTTAATTATTTTTCACTTGCACTGGAACATGGTCTACATGGGATTACCCTTGGAAAGTGTCTGGAAACCTATTGCACCTGGCACAAAAAGTGACAGATTTCTGTCTAGAATGTGCTTTAGAGTTCATATAATACCAGTCTTGAAACAACTGCATTGATTTCCAGCATTAATTTAAAGCATTGGTTTTGATCTATAATGCCCTACACCAGTGGTCCCCAACCCCCGGTCTGTGACCCGGCACATGGATCCTTGTGATTTTGGTATCTCTAGGTGCCTGGGGGATCCTCTTTGTGAATGCATTACTTGGACAATCTAAATCCAATCCTCAGCAAATTTGCCAGGTTTCTAGAGGAGAGTCAGGGGAGGATTCCCTGCTAATTTGGTATCTCTAGGTGCTCTGGGGCTGTTTTAGTTCCCTGCTAATTTGGTATCTCTAGGTGCTTTGGGGCTGTTTTACAGGGGTTTAAAGTAAAAAAAAAATGAATTGACTGATCAATTTGTTGATTTGTCAGAAAAAATGTAAATTCATAATTTATGATTTGTCAACATTGACGAATCATGAAGTAAAGCAATCACATTTTTTTCTGATTTGTGCCCATCTTTTCTTCTCACCAGGAGTGTCATTGCACACCTTCCTAAGGTGAACAGATTTGGGCACAGTTACCTTTGCCTTAATTATTTTTCACTTGCACTGGAACATGGTCTACATGGGATTACCCTTGGAAAGTGTCTGGAAACCTATTGCACCTGGCACAAAAAGTGACAGATTTCTGTCTAGAATGTGCTTTAGAGTTCATATAATACCAGTCTTGAAACAACTGCATTGATTTCCAGCATTAATTTAAAGCATTGGTTTTGATCTATAATGCCCTACACCAGTGGTCCCCAACCCCCGGTCTGTGACCCGGCACATGGGCTAGGCAGGACTGGGCTGCGGACACAGATCTCCTGCCCCTCCACAAGTCCCCCTCGCGAGCGCTGCCCCACGCATGCGTGCAACTGCGCCGTGCCCCTGCATGAGCGTATCATGCCCCCATGCGAGCGTGCCATGCTCCTGCATGAGCATACCATGCCCCCACATGAGCGTGCCACACCCCGTGCAAGCGCACCACCATCCCTGCGAGTACGCCATGCTCCTGTGCATGTGCACACCACGCCCCTGTGCATACAGACCCTCCCAACCAGTCCATGGTTGGGAAAAGGTTGGGGACCACTGCCCTACACAACTCAGGACCAGCATATATGAAAGACTGCCTCCTTTATATATTTGCCTAGAGTGTGAGATACTCAGAATAGGCCATGCTGTCCACCCCACAACGTATGAGGTTAGGGTGATTGGTACGTAGAAGCATGTAAAGTGTGGAATTGCATCCCAAGAAAAGTTAAATGGGCTCCATCTATGTTGAACTTCCATTGGTCACCTAAAATAGTACTGTTCTGAAGGGCATTTTGTCTCTCAGAATGGTTTTTTTAAAATGGTATTTTGCTTTCGCTTATGCTCTCAGTGCTATCTATCATTCTGTTAAATGTTTTTAAATCTGTTATTTAATATTCTAAATTTGTTTAAATGTTTTTCATTTTTCCTTGAACATTTAGATTTTGTTGCAAATCCTCATTGGAGACTTAGTGGACAGAAAGGTAATGAACAGGTGTTTTAAATCAAATAAATCAATTTAGATTATTCAAATGATTTACAGAAATAAATTATGCTCCTTTTCACCACTCCAGCAGTAAGTAAAACAAATGTTGATCTCCCCAATAACTTTTATTTCTCATAATCTCATATAGATTCATTCAGTCTTCATATTATACCATTCTTTTTGTTAGAAAGTCAAAAAAGCAGTACACAAAAACCCTAAAATAAAGCAATAAAAGCATAAAATCAACAGTAATTGTATCATTCAAATCACTAAAATTAAAATATACTAAAATGACTTAAAAGGTTCTGTCAGCATTCTTATTTCTCACAATTATATGTCTGCAGGTGAAACTAAGCTAACAATGACATAAACACCTGACAATTGAAATGTTCTAAATGACTATAAAAGTCCCCTCAGTATTATAATGCATCTGCAGGACATGCCAAATGGTACAAATGCAGCTGAATTCAAAAGGGTTATTTTTCAAAATGTCCTGGGAAGAAGCACGATCTTCTTGAATAAAACGGCATGGATTATGTTTTTTTTAAAACAAACAAACAAACTATCATGTTTAACCAGCCATAGAGGGGTTTCATAAGTTACAACTTTCCTATTCATGTCTTCTTTAGCAAATTTTGGAAAAGACTCCAGTATTGGACAAAAGCTTCTGTCTTGATTGTGGAAGATGTTTAGTGCAGTGGAGCATTTCTGCTGCTGGAACAGGAAAGGAAGTGATTTTCACCAATTCCCCCACCCTCTTGGAATCCCCTACCTAAGGAAATCTACTCTTGAGATAACCCTTTGGAACAGAACTGAAGATAGCACTGAAAGCATCAGGGAACCAATGGAAATCAACCCCCCATCTTTCCAAGCTGGAGTGTCCAGAGCAGAGATTCGTGTAGGGAGTCTTTGGGCTAATGGGAGCAATTCTAGATCTAAATCATAGTACTCATGTACTATGCAAATTTTATTCCATTCCAGATTTCACTGAAGAGACATCTTACAAGAAGTTTCTGTTGGTATGCAATTATTTTCTTCCAGAAGGCAGACTCTTGTGTTTCTGGTTCACCGTGCCTATGTTTGTGATGTTGCCTTTGCTTCTGTTTTTCTTTGTCATCTTTTATTTTATCCTCCTTTTCTCCATCTTCTCCTCTGAAAACATAAATTATGTCTTTGCAATTAAAATACATTATCTCAATGAGCAATGACGCTAGCTGTGTAAGTCACATATTTCATAAGAGCTTTTCAAAAGATTGGTTCCTCGTTCAAGCAGTCTCATTTGTGAAAACATAATAATAAGAAAGGGTGGTTAGGAAATATATAGATAAGGGCTTATAAAAACTAACAAGATACAACTTTTCCAATGGGTTTGACACAGCAGAAAGAAGCCTACTGACACCAGAAGGCAAAAGTATACTTTTGCCTTGTACCACTGTTTCTGTCAGAAGTAACATTCCCCTGCCCTTTTCCCTTCAGCTTTTCAAGCACCCTAAAACCTGCTCTGCAGAGTTAGGAAATTGTCTGGAACCCTAAAACCTGCTCTGCAGAGTTAGGAAATCATCTGGACACTTAAAAAAACACAAATTGCAGTTATTGCAATACACACACACACACACACACACAATTTGCAGTTATTGCAAGCATTGCTAATTAGTCACTGTGCTATATTCTAATCAATATAGCTGATGAAGCACCATTACAGTAAAAGCATAACAAATAAGATTGCTCATCTGCATTCCTGTTCTATGACATTTATTTAAAATGAACTCCCATTGATTTAAGTGGACTTCATAAGACCATAATTTTGATAAGTAAGTTCACAAATACTGTAAGCATTGATACATACTCTGCTTTTTCAGGTTCAGTTTTAGATTCTTCTCTGTCATCCTTTTCATTTTCATGCACTTTCTGGTCCTTCAATGAACAGAATATATCCAAGATGGCAGAAAATATTATAACACATTTTAAAACAAACATGTTTTAAAACAACAAAAGAAAAAAGCCAGAATAATTGTGTACAAATATACTTATAACTGATTTTGTACATAAAATTGGGCACCACAGTTTCACTTACAGAGATCACTTTTACTGTAAAAACCAAACCAGTATGCAATAGAAAGATTTGAGATTCTGCCCACATCTCCTCAGTAAAGCTTTGACTGCTCAATGTCATTTTTAAAAAATCTGAAATATTTATTTCAAATACTTAAGCATAGTTTTTTTCCCCCTTAAAAGTATGACTATCAGGCTATCAGGTTTAAATAGCGTACAAACAGATGTACAAATCATAAAGTGTACCTGGTTTTTTTCTTGCACTTCAGGTAAAGGAAGTAGAGAAGGGCTGCTCAGCAAATCACTTAGGCCTGCATTTGGATTATGTGGGATCAGTTTATATTGTCCTCCCTCTCTTTTTAAATCTAACCCAAATATATCTGAGAGAAGGTCACTATCTTCTGCCAAAGCTTTGAGGTCTGTTAGATCTTCTGCAGGCAGGGTGGCCTCAGCTGGTTTCCTTTCCACTTCTTCCCCTTCACCACGCACTTCATCTTGAGTGGGGTCAGGCATATTGGCTAAAAGCTCAGCCACCTTTATCTTCTTAGCTCCTTCAACCAAGCTCGCTCCAAGGAGAAAGCTGGACATAATTTGAAAGAAGCCTCGGAAGACACTTGATATAAAATGCATTAAGCCCATTAAGATGCTCCAATAGGAGGAAAATAAAGCCATTACCATGTCTTTCATTGTCATTTTTGCCATTTTTTTCATCTGCTTCTTTATACTTTTCATGCTCAGCATTTTCAGGAGGGTCATGGTGTTGTACCTGAGAGCTACTAAAGCAGATTTGATAGTCACTAGGGAGAAGAAACCTATTCTAGGATCTTGTTCCTCAGGCTTCTCGTTCTCATTTTCTTCTTTATTTGCAGACCTCTCATTTAAATCCGATTCAGAGATCTGAGCTGCCAATTGCATTTCAAAGATGGTATCCTCACAGAAATTCACAAAAAGTTCCATTTTTTCCTTTTCCCCACCTTCATTTACTACATCAAAGATAAACTGCCTCTTTGATTCTTTGACTTGAGGTTTTTCCCACTGTGTCCGACTTGATTCACTTATCTCGAAGTAAACTCGCTCAATGCGCTTTGCGCTGCCCATTATTTCAATGCGGCCCAAGAAGGGCTGAAAATAGTTCAGGACGCTGTCTGCCAATTCAAGGAAAGTCTGCAAGCGAGTATCATGAGGCATATGCTCTGAGAGGTTTGTCAGGAGTACAGCAACATTAAAACCAATGTCTTTGGCTGGCTCATGAAACCGCTTAACAAATTCCTCGTAGTCCAAAGTCTCATTTTCATCTGTTTCAGCACAGGAGAGCAGAAACTCTGTTTCAGACTGAGTGTAATGCTTGTGGCTTTCCATTGCTTTCTGGAAATCCCTTTTTGAAATTACTCCTTTACCATCAGGATCGTATTCTTTGAATGCATCGGAGAAAGTTAAATCCTTCAATTTTAAGAACATATCGAAAAACTTTAAAATCATTTCTACATTGTTGGACGATTCCACTAGCATATCAACCATCTGTTTGCCAATTGTTCCATTCACAACGTTACCTAGATGTGGAAAAATGTATACTTTTACTGAAATACTTAACTGATTCAGTGACAAGCAGAAATGGGGTATACCTCGTAAAATACACCAGATATCCCCAAAACAGCCATTTAGAATTTCATAGATCAGCACTCATATACTCTGGAAATAATTTTAAAAAGATTGAACAAGATTTCCATTTGAATGCCCGTAAACATTTATGTTTTTTATTTATAGGTACAAAACACTGTCAGTGCTTTCCATTTATTCTTCTCTAAGCTATCTCTAACCTTCATTTAGGCCAGGATCCCCACATACACACACAAACATAGGGAAGAGGTTAAGATAACTGGATTGACCTCCCTCTCCTGCAGTCTTTTCCAGTTCAAGCTCGGTCCTATGAATCTGCCAAACTGTTTTTGGAGGGCTGGTGGGAACATGAGACAGTATGCAGGAATGACTGTACAACATTTCTTGCAAAGCAACTGTTTGGAGGACCTGGGATAGAGAGAAAGGAACTGAACATAACTGAACTTAACTGAAGGCACTTGTGGGTTACAGGAACATTGCTGGGATAGGAGGCCTGCAAGAACTGTGTGCTGTCCTCCCCAATCAAGTTATGCTCTGGCTAGAGGATGGTGACGAATTTAGCTGCAGGTAGGAATTCAGAGGAGTAGAGACACAGCAGGTAGGCTGAATTGAAGATCTCCAGGGACTAATCTTTGCTTAGGGTTAGGATTGCCCTTTTGAAGCTGCCTATTTATTCATTTATTTAATTTATTTTCATTTCTACACTGCCTTTCCCCAATTAAGGAACCCTAGTCGGTTCACAAGTTATTAAAAAACAAACTGACTAAAACCACAGTAAATGATACCACTAATAACTATTAAACATGTAACAATAAAACAACTAGTTAAAACTGTTAGAACTGTATTGTGGGCGAAAGGGGATTATGAAAGCTATTCATTTGCTTCATTAAATGCTGTTTGCTTAATAGTCATTATGTATTACCAATACAGGTAAACATTTTAAATTTGATTATTAGTTGGTTGGAGATTTCATACAATCCTAAATTAGAAGGCTGCATACTCTTAGGCCAAATTAGGGTTTTAAATGTTTCTTTGCATGCAATTTGTCCATCAAAAAAAGCAAATCAAAGCCATTGAGATGGGGACTATTAATGACTGGTACTGCAGCCGGCTAAGAGGAATAATAACCAGCCTTCCCACCCAGAAGAAAGTCCCAAATCTTATCTCTTTACAATTTAAAAGCAGACTTTAAAAAAAGTTAAAATGAACTTTACCACCTTCTAACATAGATAGCAACATGACCACCATATCTTTCTGAAGATCCATTAACTCTTTCAATAATTCAATTTGGCTAGAGTCCTGTAAACATAAAACACAATATTCAAGACAACGTTCTTCTAACCCAGTCTGTACAATCACATAGCTGATTTTCTCTGGCTTATTTGGGAAGTTCATTAATATCTGCAAAGTTTCCTACAGCCTCAGCCTACAGTACTGTGTCTCTTTGCACATTGCTTTGAAAACTACCTAAATGCTTGAGAATGGATTTTCAGGGGACATAGTAACTACAAAGTATAAAACAGATGTGAAAGTCCCAATTCACTTACAAAATACAATATATGATTCTTTTTATCTAAGCCTTTAGAAAAAATATAGTCTTCATAGTCTCATCATGAGTGTGGTTCGTTTGGGTCAAGAAACACTGCACCCATGCAAGTGGCTCCAAGGTTACACCATCAGTTTTCATTGTAATAACTGCTTGACATGAAGTTTAAGTGAATTATTTTACTATCCACATATAAAGAACACCATGGCAATACACTAATGCTTTGAAACACAGACCAAACATTTAAAATTCAAGTGTACTGGTGTACTATTATTCCTTTAAAACTATTTATTTCCATCTTGTTTCCCAATGAAATTAATTGGGTCTTCAGTGAGAAGAACTGTTTTATTGATTAAAATAACTGCTTTTTTAAAATAAATTCTGCTTTCAAAGCAATGATTGACTCTGAAGTGGTTCTAGTATCAAAGTGCAAAAATCTTTTATCTTTCAAGTTTCATTAGAAGGGATAAAAGAAAAAAAAAGTTAAAATGAACTTTACCACCTTCTAACATAGATAGCAACATGACCACCATATCTTTCTGAAGATCCATTAACTCTTTCAATAATTCAATTTGGCTAGAGTCCTGTAAACATAAAACACAATATTCAAGACAACGTTCTTCTAACCCAGTCTGTACAATCACATAGCTGATTTTCTCTGGCTTATTTGGGAAGTTCATTAATATCTGCAAAGTTTCCTACAGCCTCAGCCTACGGTACTGTGTCTCTTTGCACATTGCTTTGAAAACTACCTAAATGCTTGAGAATGGATTTTCAGGGGACATAGTAACTACAAAGTATAAAACAGATGTGAAAGTCCCAATTCACTTACAAAATACAATATATGATTCTTTTTATCTAAGCCTTTAGAAAAAATATAGTCTTCATAGTCTCATCATGAGTGTGGTTCATTTGGGTCAAGAAGGACTGCACCCATGCAAGTGGCTCCAAGGTTACACCATCAGTTTTCATTGTAATAACTGCTTGACATGAAGTTTAAGTGAATTATTTTACTATCCACATATAAAGAACACCATGGCAATACACTAATGCTTTGAAACACAGACCAAACATTTAAAATTCAAGTGTACTGGTGTACTATTATTCCTTTAAAACTATTTATTTCCATCTTGTTTCCCAATGAAATTAATTGGGTCTTCAGTGAGAAGAACTGTTTTATTGATTAAAATAACTGCTTTTTTAAAATAAATTCTGCTTTCAAAGCAATGACTGGCTCTGAAGTGGTTCTAGTATCAAAGTGCAAAAATCTTTTATCTTTCAAGTTTCATTAGAAGGGATAAAAGATTTTGCTCCTATTAACAGAAGTCCACATCCCTCATTCAGTTTTCTCATCATTAGGATGAAACTATGAGCATAAGATTCTTCTCTCTCTTTTTGGATTTGTCCTTTTGGAATTACATGCAAGTAAATGCACATGCTTGAAAAGATGTATATTTGGGGGGAAAACCTTTTCCTACTGAGGGAAAAATGTATGCATTGTAGAATAGGCATTAATTTCCAATTCAGGGATGGGAAGAAGACTTGCCACCTAAAAAAGAACTTGGACAGGATGAGAGGAATACTACTGACATTCCCAGAAACAGTAACAAAAAGAAAACTGACAGATTTTTCACACCTTTATCTCTATCTCTATCCTCATATTTCTGAGAATAGACTACTGTTAGAATTCAGGCCATGTATTCTTGTTAATATACTGGAAGCTAAACAGAGGGGTGCAGAACAAAGTTTCATATGAGAAGCATACAAGGTAGTTGGATCAAAACTTTAATAACCTTTCAGAATGGTTGCTTTATGGATTAAGGAATGTGCATTTGTGGTAGAGGATTCTGATGCCTTTCCCTCCAAATCCATTCTTTTGCTGGAGGGAAAAGAGCTTTTACCAAATTGGCTCTGTTTTCTCAGCTCAGTTCTATGAGTTCCCCATCCATTTGAAGTGAATGTGGATTGGCAGGTAGTTGGACAGGCAGAAAAAGGAGAAGAAACTCCTTGTTATTACTGTACAAGAGTCAGAGGCATTGATTAGCTAATGCCATGGCCCCACAGGCTCTTCAGATTACACTGAAACATACCGAAATGCACTCGTGGCACTGGAATACACAGCTAACAAAACTTTTACCTGCCCACTTTCTTTGTTGATGGCAAGTTATGTGTTACTGACTTTTATTTGAAATTTCCCCATCTTGTCATTACTGAAGAGAGGATTAGAAAGAAGCAGAAAATTAGTTAATTTTATTTTCTGTGGAAGAGCCTAAGGTGCTGCTTTCCCGATTAGCTATTCTATTTGCACAGCGTAGTTGCCCATTTTGGGTGGTGCAGCTGTCCACATTCAACTCTCCAGATTTCTCCTGCTATAATTTATACTGTACCAACTTCATTTCAATATTTCTGAACAAAATTAATTGAACAAGTACATGCTATATGTTTTATGTAACAAAACATTAAGTATATAGTTTTTTTTTTTAAAAAAGAATTCTGTACCTGAGAGAGCTTCATCTGCATGTGGGCAAATACATGAAGAAAACCAACTACAGCATCCCATAGTCTGCTGTGTGCAAGGCTCTGCTGGTTCCCTGTACATGGGCCCTGCAAAGATTTCCCCAAGCCCAAAGAGGAATAAGGTTACACATGCCCACCAAAAAGGATGTTTGCAATTTCAAAGATGAATCTAACATGAATTATATCTGTAGCCTGACTGATCTCATATGACAATGAAAGTGGTTATAATAAAAGCTTGTACAAAAACTTCCTTAAAGACTTAAAGCTTTCAGCAACTGACAACAAATATTCTCATGTCCTTCCCATTTTACAGAGGGGCATGATTATGGACTAGCAGACACAGATAGTTCTACTGTGAGACAAATGAGGCAAGTAACTCAGTGGCAAACATTGTGGGAAGGCAATGGCAGGAGCAACTCCATTCTTCCTCCTCATCCTCCCAGACAGTATCATGTGTTAGAGAACAAACGTGTGAACATGCCACACAGCCTGCTCTGCTTTTCCTGAATTAGCCTACAGCCATTGTGATAGAGGACATTACCTTGTTGTCCATGGTAAGATAAGTGCTGCAGAGCCAGTGTAGTGTAGCATAGTGCAGCATGTTATATTGCAGTTATTCCCAGCCTTGGTAACCCAGGTGTTCTTGAACTGCAACTCCCAGAAACCCTGGACAGCACAGCTGGTGATGAAGGCTTCTGGAAATTGCAGCCCAGTAACTTCTGAGTTACTCAAGGTTGGGAACTACTGCTATAGCAGATAGACTCAGGAAATCTGGGTTCCAATCCCCAGTCGACTGTGATAGATCCTTGTTGGGGGCGGGGAATGCAAATCATTCCTTAAACATCTTGCATACCTCAACAACCTTATAAAATAAGTAAGTAAAATTTTATTATGCAGTCATAGACCCAATTATACAAAGATAAAGTACATAAAATAAATAAATAGTATTGTATAAAATCTTGCTATAGAGTTTTGTGAATTTTCATAGCTGAAAATAAAAACTTATAAAGGTTGATGTAAGCTGGAAGTGCCTCAAAGGCACACAACAGGATAATATTTATTCATTTATTTATTCATTTATTTATTCATTTAATTTATATGCCGCCCACACTACCCAAAGGTCTCATAATAACAATATGTGCAAATGGGAGATATGTCTACATCATTTGACTGAATGTAGATACTGGAGTGTGCAAAGGGCTACTCTGCAATTATACACTTGTATTTTAAACAAACCTTCATTGCAAAAGTTAATTATGCAGCATACCAAATGGATTTCATACTATATTCCCATTGTTTTGTCCTGCTGTTGTTTTACTTCTAAGGCTTACCTGAATATATTCAGTAAGAGTATTGAAGACCTGCTTTGCCACTTGAATTGCTTTAGAGAAATTACGTTGTCCTTGTTCATCAATAACATCTTTTCCAGAATAATACCAATAAAAATTTCTAATTGATTCCTGAAGTGGAGAAAGAAAGATATAATAAAGTACACAGATTTATAACTCATGTTCATAAATTTCCTTTTTGACAAATTCCATTTAAAAATGGATAATAATCATTTTCCAGAACTAATATCACAAAAAATGATAGTTCCTTTCAGTACTTAAATTTGAAACAGATCTGAATATGATTTACTGATACATGTATGATATTTTACCTGAACTCTCAATAAATAATCCACCGTAGATATAATAATATTGACAGTTGTATTGTTACCAGTCTGAGTCCTCAAGTAATTCTGAAAATCTTAGAACAGAATAAGATTGAATTAATAGTTTTCTCAAATTTCTTTAAACTTACCTTTATTTTATAACAAACAGTGCTTGGTTTTCTTAACCACATTTTCTGTTAATAATATATTTAAAAAAAAAAACCACACAATTTAACTACACTCAATTTGTTTAAAAATGTAACATGGAAGTTCAGGTTATTATATTATTCTTTAAAATAATACTAGGTGCTTTTCCTCTCCTCACTATTCAGGAGTGAGACAAGAGTCCCACAGATGGAAGACCAAATGTAGCTTTATTTTTCTCTGCAGCCTTTAAGTTTACAAAAGGGAATCTGTGGCCAGTAACCTGTTGGTGGTGAAAAATGTATGGAACATGTGAAGGACTCCTTTCTGTGCATGGTTCATCTACTTCTATTGCAAGGAGGAATCCACTAACAACTTGTGCAAGCAGAAAATCCAATGTAAAATGACAGGGCAATCTCTAGCTTGAATAACTGCAAAATGGAGTTCAGGAGGGAGAATCACAGAGGATTCCGGCTGCTGATCCATTGTGCTCTATGAATATCACCAGGAAACTGCCTGGAGAGTAGACATGCTAAATACTACCAGTCAAACAATAGATATTCTACCAAATAATAATAATAATA